AATTAGGAGTCGCAGAACCGAAAAATGAAATTTGATCACCTATGTACGTTAAGAGACACAAACATCCAAGCTTAAATACACTTTAAATAAGGAATAATTAGTTATTGTAACGAGGTGAAATATTACTTATCCGGATTTTATTCCATTATTTACGAATGATGATATTGGCAACGTAAAAATTTCAACTGCGTCATTCACCGCCTCGAATCAAATGAATATTTATGCAGTAGCAATGCTAAAGTACTAAGCGTAATCCGATTTGTATGTTTTATAGTCACTGAAAAAGTTGATATACTTTAACAAAAAAATGACAATAAATGCCGACATTCACTCGTCCTTTCAAATAATAATTCGATTATAAGAATAAACTTAAACTATTCTGTGTATGACATAATTTTATGGATTTTCAGTAAGGTCATCGAACATAATAAGAGGAAATAACGAACTTATTCTTGGGAATATTATCCATCGTTTTCAATGATCTTGCGCTATTTTCAGGTAACGTACGAATGCCGTTGTGGACGATACTTGCAGGCTTCGAGGCAATAAGATTATCGACGAATTTGGAACTTTTTATCCACTATGGCGCACTGCATTGATCCGAGCAAATAGTAGTCGGATGGGGCCAAGTCTAGTGAATATATCGCGTGTGGGAGAACTTCCCACCATAAGTTCACGAGGGTCGTCTGAGTCGCGCGATCAAGGTGAGGTCAAGCGTTGTCATGTAGTTGTCTGACTTGCCTGCTTCATTGATACTAAGTGGCCTTTTCTGATCACGACCCTTGGTCAGTTTGTTTAACTTGTCGGCTGTGACGGTCCGTCGTCACCGTCTGACCAGTCTCCAAGAGCTCGTAGTAAAGTGCACCCCTTATGTTACATTGCATTCACAAGAGAACCACCTTCAATTTTAATTTCATGTTCTGACGTCAATGTACTGGCTTCCTTAGGATCTGTCCATGATTTTCAATTTTGAGATTCATGTAAAACATACTTTTTATCACCCATCATAATTTTCCATTGGACGTCTTCTTGCTGCCGGACAGGCAGTGAAAGGCATGTGTTCATACGCTAACCTAGGTTATATTCGGTCAACACATATGAGACCCAACTTCCAGGCTTTTGAATTTTCCCCCGTAGTGGTACACATTCTTAGAAATGGCTATTTAGATGACTCCTAACTCAGCTATAATCTCTTGTTGCGTTTGCATTAAATCTTTATCCAGTTGAATGTGCAATTGTGCATCTCCAAATTTTCAAGGCTGTCTGCGGCGTGGCTGGTTAAACATCTCATGAAACACAAATTTGGCACCACGTATATTTATAATTGATTCCCATGCTTCAGAGGCATTTTGTTCTTGTTGGAATTAGTACAACGTGCACGTCATCGAATATGCTGCTTACCGGTTGCCAACGTCGTACACTCTGCTATTCTGAGAGGTTTTGTGACTCACGTAAGCTTGGCGTTCAGGGTTCTGAAGCCTTGCGTCGCATCCTTTTGAAACGCCGAAAGACCGCACGATTTCTATTTTAAATGCAATTTATAGCTCGAAAACATCCAAACAAATTAATTAAAACACATTATTTATTAATTTTCTACTAGTTGGATGCCTATGGCATGATTCAATTTATGAATTTTTAGTTGTACACCTAACCTTTTAGTTCCACTTAACAGACTAGTGACTTGCTAAAGCAAGTATATAAACAGGTAAAATCTCATATCTGAACCAATGTTGTCAACACTAGTGCAAAAATTTAGCAAAACGAAAGTAATGTAATTAGAGCATACGTATGAAATTGTCCCAAAGCTGTTCTAGAACATGTAAAACTATACTAGCATTTCTAAAAATGGTGTCTGCCTGACAAAGGTTCATACAGATAGATCGACCATCCGGAATCATAACTGACATAAAGGGGGGTTTTCCAAAGTGCAAAACAAATACCAAAACACAGAATCCTAATCCAAATTTACTAAATCTAAGCGTAATCGAATAATTATTTCAACAATTTTTCTTTCGCACAAAGTATGCAGTTCATTTGCTGTAACATGACAGGATTGGAAGAACATTTACATTGATGAGGTATGGGGTCAGTGATATTCGAGAACATCTTTCTCTTTATTATTATTATTACATCTAAAAGCAAAATCTAAAAGATAGTTTGCATCGCTTACAATGGGCCTCTGTTATCTATTGCTCAAATAGGCTTTATGTAGCAAAACAAAGAATATTCACTTTTAAAAATGTACATGAAGAACAATGACTTCATGCCAGCTTTGTACGTTCTTATTTTTGCGCAGCGAATAAAAATTTTCAACTAGCGTCCTGAACAAAACTTGCATAGTACAATATTAAGCCAGATGCGAAATAAGGGTAGTCGTTTATGTTAATTCAATTAGATTACGGTAACATTGCAGTTCTTTGACCACAAGGGAAAATGCTAATTTTCAAGCAAGGTACTAATGTGTAAATACGAAAAAACATAACGTGCTTATTTCAGATATGCTTATTTACCATAAATAAGTAATACAAGCACATTTTTTTTAAAAAAGAATTATTAGATTCAATTGATTACCTTTAATCAAAAAGTTATAAAAAAGTTAAACAAAGCATATTTCAGAACCAAATGTACTTTTGACTCGTATGTAAATCCGTTTTATTAGGTTCCAAGTTTTGTTCGGCTTAACCGTAAGCGTTTTACCAACTAAACCATCGTGTTTCCGTGCAGTTCCGAGACCAACGTCCTTCAAAACATAGATTTAAACACATCTAACGAAAATTAGAGATGTTACTTAACTTAGATTATTTACGTACATTTGAAGTTAATAATCTGTATCGTTTGCAATAAAAAACGTTATAGCAATTTTCATAAATTTGCGTTCTCTTGAGTATCCACCTAAACTTAAATGATAGTTACATTTGGCCCTAAAAAGGTTAATTGCGGATTTGCCACTGAAATTATGGAACATTTTGACCTAGATTGCAAAAACTACACTGATATTACATAACATCAGGTAAAAAATCGTTTTATTTTTTTTTTACTTTTCACTCAAAAATAAAAAAACTTTACGCAAAACAACCCGAACAATAATATTTCACTGCAAAAAAATCCTAAACCTCGCCTTTATTTAGCCTTTATAATTCACTTTATTTACATTTTTCTGTGTTCTTAATTAGCTTTCACACCCGATTCCAATTTACGTCTTTTCCAACTTCCTAATTTTTATGTTATTTTTGCACCTGATGCAAGTAACTTTAAACAAAGAGTTCGCTGGCCTTTCTGGCACTCTAGTACTATACTTTACAGATCACGGTATTTAGGATTTTAAAGTAGGGATCATTCGTCTTAGGACATTTATCGATTTTAAAGGGATTTCTATTCTCCTAGGATCAACGTACAATTTTTTGGTTCATTTGCATTTAATTTTACCCCTATTATTCAACATGTTTATGGATAAGTTTGAGAGGCTAACTCGATTACCAAAAGCGAAATTCAAGTTTTGCCCGAAATAATCTATTATACTACAACTAACACACTATTTATCCAACAAGGTCGTTTTCTGGGTATTACTTGCTTGGTATTCAGTTTGTAAAAAAATTGCCGTCTAGAACTTGTAGTGGCTAGATGTTTAGCACTACCTTACAACCCTCTATTTAACAGCCCGTAACTACCCGAGAATAGGGAAGAGAGAAAGTGACAAGAATACGACTGTTTATTATTGTCACACCAGCCAAGTGGTTTTGTGTGCGTATGAGTACGCGTGCGTAACAGACGAATGCTGACAGAGGCCAATTACAAAAGGGGTGAGTCAATGGTCCACTCGGGCCCTAATGCACGCATCACTCATGCGAGGTGGCTGTCAGTCCACTACAAATCTTCGCCAGCGACAATTTTACAAATTCAAAATTGCTGACATTTTAGCCACTTTTACTGGTGTTGCAAATTTTCATCAGGAAAAATGTGTGGAAAAAACTATCTTGACGCTTAACTTTCAAATTGTATTTCCTAACAGCAAATACCATATATTAACATAAATATAATCGGTTCATAATTTATATTTGACAGGCATTAAGTTAATTTAGTGTGGTAGAAAGGCACATTTGGCAAAAATTTATGCCCACCGTGGCCGTAGAACCATATTATTTTGAACATTATATTTCCCATTAACGAAATGAAAATAAGTATTTAGTGTTGGAGAAAATGTCGATGATGTTTTTAGTTAAAATTTTCAACATTGTAAACTAATGTTTTTAACTGACAGTTCCTGACTGATAGAAGTAAATTCTTTATTGAAAACGCACAGTCCTCTACACTTCTTGATATCAACAATGTAAATACTACGTTGACAACGAATGTTTTATTATAGCTTTGTTTAATATTGCCTAAAATACTAGTGTTCGAAATTTGAACTTTTCAACATTACTGGTGGCGATAATGATATATCACTAACAAATCATCAATCAATTATAGGCATTCATTCATAAACAATATGGGAAGGATACTTGCATCCGACTTGTGATTTCTTGAAGCAGAACGGGTTCTCTGAGTGATTAATAACTCGAAATGAGCGACGATGCCTGCACTCTTGCTCAGATGCTCTAAAAATAATTTTTCCATGGTCTAATAGACTCAATAATCACTGAAGTTCCCACCATCTCCATGCTTTTTATCTAGTTCAGGATGTATCGTTGTGGTTAATCTATCGTGTGCAAATTGTAGAGAAGAGTGAGAAACAAAGGGAAAAACTGTAAGACTACGAGGGCGATATTGGATGTGAGTTGAGCTTACTGGCTACTTGAATTTTAAGGAAAGAACATCAATCAAAATACACTCGCGTAATGTTATAAATCCAGTGAACTTGAAAAAAAATACAAAGATCATGGTAAAATTCCCATGAACTCAATATTGTCAAAATACTATTTTTAATATAGGCTCATTCTAGTAATGACAAAATTTGATCTATGTATGTGCTTGCGTTGTTAGTGGAAGGAAATCCTGCGCAGTCAAACAAAATTCCATTCATGTACGTTATATTTTTCATCCGCAGGTCTTTCATGTGACTCGATTATGACTTGCGTGATTTCCGCCCCCGACACTCGTGGTGGCTGCGTTGTTACACCTTCCAGGAAGCTCGTAGTCAAGTGCTTGTTATTGTCATAGAACTCCAGGTGTTGCGTATTAGCCGAAGACGCGGAATTCACGGGAGTTTGTTCAAGGCACGCCAGACAGAGGTTCTGCAGACTACTGCTCCTTAAGCCGTTGTTTAAACGACCCTCTCTCTCCTCGTGTAATAAAAGTACTCCTGCTCGTCCATTACCAGCAGGGAACGTATAACACGGACCACCCTGTGGTCTTCGTGGCTCATCTAAGGGCTGCTGATCCGCCAGAGACAAAGGGGCAGCCCTTTTTCCCTTTTTGCAGCAATTTGACAGCGTCTCGTAGACGGTTTTGCTTCGAATTGCTAGCACAATGAAGAGAACAATTAACAGGAGGGCCATTAAACAGCAAAGAAAACTCGATGCAATGTCAATAAGGGCCCAGGAAGAAGTGGAACCTTCCATTTCTATTGAATGTTCTGTCGCAGAAAGTTTATTCCGAATTACGAATGGCGTGGCTGATGTGGTGATGCCAGCGAGAGCAAGCTGTCTATTAGTCACGGGCTGTCGTGTCACTTCGGTCAAACAGAGGGCACGAGATGCGAACAGACTAAATAGTCCTTCGGACAGGATACCGTAGCTTGACTCGGACATCATAGAGCTTAAAATGCATGTTTTGTCCGAGAAATCCCAGTAGACCTTTTTCAGTTTCTCCACTCCCCCGAAAATGTAGGGATCTATGTATGAATAAAATGTTGGCGATTCCAGATGCATCGGACAGAAGAGCTTGGGATTTCGAGACAAGTCAATCTCTCGAAGGTTTGGTGCTCCTTGAAAAGCACCACGGACGATGAATGTGAGGTTATTATTTGAGAGTGAAATGGTTTTTAATTCTAATAGACTGCGAATTTTGGAACCATCTCGACCGTATGCCCATAGAGGACTCCTGATACCGGATATAAAATTTCCAGAGAGATCCAAAGCTTGTAGCTGTGGTGTGTATCCAAGGACTCCGTATTCTATGGTCTCTGCTGCCGAAAGCGTTTTCTTAAAAGTCCAATTTTGCCTCAGAATACGAGGACTTAAACCCATTACTTCCTCAAGACTGCCGCTGAGCTGATTATAGGATAGCTGAAGTACTCTTAAGTGCCTGCATCCGACAAGACTGTCACGCGTCAAACCCTTTAGGTAATTTCGATCCAAGTAGAGTGACACAAGATCATTTGGGCGAGAGGCGCCAGTTGAAGTGTGACACAAGTTAACCAGTAGATATTTTGAAAAGGATCCCGTGAGACTTATATTTGTCAGTCTAAGCTGTCGTAAACTCGTGGGTGTATCAAAAAACAACGGCTTACGTGTATCTAAATTTAAGTGGCAGTCGGAAAAAGCAATTAGCTCCAAATTTGGGGGAACTTTATAAAAACTAGACGCATCGAAGCCATCTGTCTCCACCTGGACATGATGAAGCCATATCCTTCGAAGATTTACCAAGCCCTGTAGGATAGAGCGAAATGTAAAGCCCACTGGATTATCCCCAGTCTGTCGAATATAAAGACTCGCGAGTTCATGACAATAGGAAAAGAGGGGTTTTGCTTCAAATGTGGCTTGCTGCAGTGGAGCCGAATAATTGTAGAGATTCAGTTTTAGACTAATCCACCTTCGAGCGCACAAAATCGGTAGAGTATTCGTTGCCACATGACACTCAGCGGAGTACATCGGAGTCCCATCTGTCGTCTCCTCCCGAAGGCACTCGCAGTAGGATGGACAAAGCGCGTCTGCGGGTCGTGTCTGCAGTCCACGAGTGAGTCCTGAATTGCGATCACCAAAATTGGGTGCGACAAGGAACAAACATAGGAGGATAGGGATCATGCTTTGAGCAGGCGCTGGGACAACGAATTTAACAACGTTTTCTTCCTCATATTCGTGTGCATGTGCTGCGTGCAAGCAGGAGACATCCTAATTGGCTGAGACTGGGTTGAATACCAGTGAAGGGGTGCGTGTGTGTGGAGAAACAAGTAGCCGTACAAAGTAACTGGTAGGAACTGGTTAATGTGACAGATTTATTAGTTTCTGAATAAGAAACTGGGACCTGATGAAAGAGGAGTGTTAAGTGTTAGACGTGGCTTATTTGGACAAAATATTTACTAAAAACGAACTCCGTGAGGTAATCACAATAGATCTTGCAGACCAACGTAGTCTTAACTGAAATACAAAACCTAAGATTTAAAAATAGTTAATGCTAAAGGAATAAAAAAAATAGTTATCATAGTGATTGCCTATTTGCTCATGGAGATAATTGTCCTGGTTTCTCATTTTAATCGTCAGGATAAGGATGCAAATCAAGAACAGGAAAGCTATTAAATTACAACCTGTACTATAATTCAGGGAGGTGAGTAGCAACTGTGACGAGAACATTGAACGAAGTTACCGCTCGTAAAGCTATGATAAAATTACCAATGCTTAAAGCGAATAATTCCACAACCCACTGAAGTCAATAACACCAAAATTATCAAAATTACTTCCACCATAAGTCTTAAAATGTGCTTGTCAGCAGTTAATATTTCATGCAAGAAAAAACATTACTTTGGATTCATGGTCTGATTAAACTGAAATTCAATTTCAAATCATCAATTTCGCTTTTTGATTTATTAACCCAGAAATTCAATTCCCGTTATTTACGATCAAACAAAGACATCGTGTTACCTTAGAGATCCGTTTTATTGCTCTTGCAACGATTAAGTGAAACATAAAATTGACACATGCTCATTGTTAACGCAAACTCGCTTTGTTGGTCGGCTTGAATTGGAAGGGGTACAGTACAACCTCGAATCGGCGGATTACTTGAATCAGGGAAGGATATCTCTGCATAACGCAACGCTCGCCACTGAGCACAAACATTGTCGTTCAACTTTAAATCCTAAGTTTCAAGGAAAAAAGTTTCTTAACGTAACACAAAATCCAAACAGAATTTCGTCGAAATACATGACAGTGATAAGGGTCGCTTGTCTCTTTCATAAACGAGATTAAACGAGAAAATAATATGAAAAAGGAAAAAACCTCGAATCACAGCACTTTTGGGAAGTAGATCGAGAGATCATGATAAACGTCGGGCAGTTGTGTCTCCGCTGGCAGACGCGCCATTAATCGGATTCGAAGCAGTGTCCTGCCCTCCCAGGTAGCTCGCCTTGGCATTATCTGACAGTTTATTTTGATCGCTAGAAAAATCCAGGCTTTTAAATTGATTGGAGACACTACAATTAAGGTGGTTAATGGTCGTGTTTTTATGTGCGCAGCCATCTGGTTGAAAGGGTTGGGAGTAGCTGGCGTCTACACGAGGAGGCCAGCGCTGAAAGAGGCTGGACGATTCCGGAGCGGAAAAAAGTTGTCCTTCTTGTAAAGCTTGCATGGTACTTGACTGTTCCTTGTGATTAATGTTGCTGGAGTAGGGCTAAAAGAATCGAATTAGTACAAACTACTATCCTATAACTATTAACGGCTCAAACATAGAAATGCAAGAGTAGTGTCAGTTATTCATTTTTTGTTTTGATTTTAATAAAACAGTTTTAGAACCCGTCATATTCGGGATCATTGATTGGATTTTCCTACAACAGTTAAAACCCAATGTTAATTGATGTACTGTGTTTTATTAAGAACTCGCAATCACCTTTGTTCTATCCATTATTCCGTCGCTTTGAGGCCTTATCACATAGTGGTGTAAAAATTGCTACCACAGGATCAGAATGTGATTTAACTTGATTGGAACATGGCAAAGACGCAAGCTTTATTCAAACGCCTAATTCCATAGATTAAAATACCTTGCGCAAATTTCGTCCTTAAAAAGAATAGATTCAGAATTCTTTTCAATTTGAGATTCCGAATATTTTTTACCAAATTTCTATTTAAAATTTTTCTAGCCAAAACATTGACAAACCCTTACTAGGCCTCAACACAGGCTCAGTTTTGCACTCATGCAAGTTTTGTCATGCGTGCACTCTTTGTCGGATAGTGGTGGTCTAAAAGGTAACTTGCCTCAAGCATCCTAAATTGCAGTGAAATCATTTAAGATGCGCTACTTTTAGCTGAATGGTTTGCCGCAATTCGTTAAAACGGTGAATTTTGAAATAGGCTGACTTGTACAGAGTCTACTTTGGAGGGATGTGCGTTAATATCGTTAATTATGTCTGTTTATAAAGGTCTAGCTTTCCAAAGAGGAGTTCACATTAATCCCCTTTTCCTATTTCTCCCAATATACAACATGCAACAAGTTTTTTTTAAATCTAAACGAAATTTAGTGAATCATCAAGCTACCAGTATTTATCAACTTTTTCAAGAGAAGCCTTCCCCAAAAGTGTCAACTCTGTGACAAAATTACCAATTCTACACTGAGGTCAAAAGAACAATGACAGTTTATCCAGCTACCCTTGGATCCCTAATTTTACGCTTTCGCCATGTTTACCAGAAGACCTATGACAATTTTTGTAGTTTACTTATCATGTCAAAAAAATTAGTTTCAATTTGTCTTATAGTAACAGAAAGCGTCGCTTAAAGGCGGGTCTTGCCTGATAAGAAATCGAAACATTGAAAAATTCGTCATGTGAAATGACCAAACTTGATTCTCAAAAGGTAATCTTTTGGCACGTTGGTTCGTTGGGGCCAATAATACAGAATCTTAAACGTCCTGGTTCTGAAATACATTGATCGCGGCTAAACGGCAACTACACTGTGTTACAAATAAGATATTTTAGTTTAAAAAATAAACAGCGGAGCCTAGCTATATTTTGCAAATGTCATTACTTTTTACCGCTTGAGTGTTTCTCAAAGGCTACGAGAGTTAAGAGTTACAAATAGCCAGGAGAATCGTCAAGTGTCACATGCGCCACCTCTGGGGGGTGGATGGGTGTGACGGTTGGAATGGAGTAAGAACGGCGGCAACGCGTTGCTGAAGGCCGAAGTAACATTTCTTTTAAAGTGAACGTAACTACTGCTTTGCTAATATAGGCAGTTTGCCAAGACAGCAAGACGGACAACTTACGACCTCTGAACAGTGGAGACCGGGAAATCATACCAGGTTCAAGGCCTTATCTGATTAGTCTAAGCAAGCAATGCAATTGAGTGTGTATATTTGGGTTAGTAAAAGTAGCTTTTCTATCAGGAAACCGATAGTGAAAAGAGCCAAAGGTTTCAAAGATTGAGAGTAGACATAAGCATTAATTTATTTAAGAAATTTTGGTTACCTAAACTTCAGTTTTTATTTCAATTTTGCAAAATTATTCATTATTTGCAAATTTGAAAAAAACGCGAAAAAGAGCCTCAATAATACACGAAATATTGTAACTAAACTCAAAGCTGCATGTGACTTGATCAGAATGAATTTAGGGTTCACATGAATGGTCGAAATAAACAAAACACCACAAAAGGTTGTCTTGCTAGGAATAGTTAAGAATCTTTGAAGGCATTCCATTGTCATCGATACTCATCGCCGTACACTTAAATTTTCAATGAACCATTCAGTTTGATATCCACACCTCCATTCAGATTATAATTGTCATTTCGAAGGAATCTATTACCAGAAAATTATGATCCCGTTTCGTCTGAGGAATTCCGCAAATGCTCTAAGCGAGGAAGTCCTCCGTCCGACTCAGCGCTTTAAACTTATAAACAAACCTGACCATTTAAAAAGGAGGCCTTTTCAGTTACATTGGGATCAGAATGAATTTCGAATGATTTCTCAGTTTTAACCTTGTTGGGGATCCAGCATTCCCCAAGACGGCTCACCGCGGGTTAGGATTTCGTCAATGTTTGCACAATAACAATAACGTCGCAGTATAATAAGTAATAAAGAGATGATAATAACTCTTAACAAGGGTTTTCACCTCTGACAAACAAAAATTCGAGGTGTAGCTTTGGGTTTGTCGGTTGAATGGCGACAAACGCCCTACGGACGCATCACGTACCTGCTGATCCGAGCCCTCCAAATTGGTATTATTTTCAGTCGTGGAGCCGTTGTGTCCCATGAGCCTTTGCCAGAGACTAATTTGGGTGCTATTAGGCCTCTGGCTCATGCAATGTTCTTGCGGAAACAAAGACGAGCAGGTTTCACTCCGTCGTAGTTCTTCCTGTTGCTTGGCCACCTGAATCTTATGCTGAACTATTTCTCTAAGCCGTGAAGCATATTCGTTCTGCTTCAAAGCCATGTTAATCGACTCCCGAAGAAGAGGAGAGGCTTGCTTTTGAAGGGGATCCTGCATGTGGATGTGGGACATAGCCTGAGGTGGTGGAGGAGGAGGGGCGTAGATGACTTCGATTGAGTTCAGGCTGCCCATTCCGTTGTTAGGAATGATCACAGGGGTGTGGGTAAATAGAATGGCTCCAGCCGGGATAATGCTAGTGCCCTGACAAATCTGCTGGCGCTGATCGCCCTGCATAGCCGCTGTGTTGAAGGGCACTTGAAGGATGGGAGTTGGGGGATAATGCGGTATCTTTGGATGCGATTGATCAAAACCAGAAAGGCTAGTAGACTGCTGAGGAATAATGAGAGTTGGTGAGTGCATACTTGGCTAAAGGGAAGAATATTAAACCAGTAAAATATTAATTCACGACAGGTTGATTAGGGATGTAACATTGTAAAAAAAGAATTCGAAGCTGAAATTTAGCTTATTAATGTGGAAAGTGTTTTAGTGAAGATCAGGCAAAAGCCATTGGGCATTTATTTCGAAAATAGGCTTCCAAAATCGTTTTAAAACTCAGTTAAGTCCCCTTTAGGCAGTAAGTTACGTTGATTTTAATTGCTGTTAATTTAAACAGTATTTTTTGGGTAAATCTCGTCCGTGAGCAAATACACTGGGTGATCAGTGAGCCTTGAATCAGAGCAACAATCGAGTTGTTGTGGTGAGCAATTACTACGATTTAACTCCCCTTATCCATGATCATCAATACAGATTTTAGCTGTACTTATGCCAATCTTGAAGGTCTTTCGATACAATCAGTATTGAATCACTGGCAGAATCATGTTTTGCCCACAGCTTACACCCAACGAGTCCTGAATTGAACTTACCAAGTTACTAGTTGCAATCGGTACCGTTTGGTTATTAACTGGGATATAGGGTATTCCGCTCGGCACTGAGCAGGGTAACGATGTGTTGGAAAACACCAGTTGCCCACTTCCATCTACGATAAGGCAATAAAAATACATCTATTCGCTTGCATACCTTGACGATGCAACAGGTTCTACATGCCAGACATGGTTTGTACAAAAGTACTTACGTACCTGTTTCCTCACCGCATGACCAATATTTAACTTCCGATCATTAAAAACAAGAGATTCACCCTAGGTTGTTGACGCAATTGAAGGTCACCCACCTCATTTCTTATTATTCGTTCTGCAGTATCACGGTGCTCAAAAGTTACAAATCCATAGTTTCCTTTCGAAAGACCAGAACGATCACAGATGATTTTTACATCTTTAACTTGTCCGAACTTTCCGAAAAATAATCGTAAATCATCTTCTGTGGTCTAAATTACATAAATTCCCTGAAAATCAGCCTTACGGATGCAGTGATGCCGCCTACAAATATTCTGTTTGGAATAAGGGTTCCGACTTTGGGGACAACAATGTTAGTAACCACCGGAGGAACCATCTGCATTGTTGAAGGATTCATAGCTGTCGATTTACGTCGGTTGGTTTAGGGAAAGAAGGATAGAAGGGCATTCAGGTGAAACCAGTCACACGTGTTTTTGAAAAAGATTGCATCAATAACAAGGGACCAAAACCACGTGAGGAACAGGTGTCTTGGCAACTTGAGGTTGCAGGGCAGTCAGCTAAAATGTTGCCATTTTAAAAGTTGCATTACAAAGACGTAATGAATTGCGGGCCAGCGACGATTAGAGTCAAGCTAAATTCAAAAACAAAGTTTCTGTGAAACCAGCGCAACAAGTGGCATTTGAGTTGGTCAACACTTAACTTCGGATGGATCTTTATTAAATTAATTTGCAATTTAAGTAATTGAGTTAGTAATTAAAATTTTGCAAAATTATAGTTGTCCTCCAATGTCCCCGGTTAAACGGCCCTATATTGTGACAACTGACTTTTAGGCAGACATCGTGTTGTAAAAAGAAGGTCATTTTATTTTGTGTGGAGACGATTCATGGCTTACTGGCGCTGAACCAGTCCGACAAAAATTTTTCGGCCACCTTATTCTGGGTGACTTTAAACTAGCTAAATTACCTTGGAAAGATGCACTTTACGGACAGGCCGAAATGCTTCAAGTCACTGATGCTTTTGAACTGGTTACGTACAGAACACGTTCTTGAGGTGAAACCTATTCAATCCTTTTACCACTTTTTTATAAATATTCTGCTCCATTCTTTGCATCTGTCTGATCTGCCTCAACCAGCTGGATAATGCCAAACCAGAATCACCAAAATCCAGCGCAAATAACAGATGTCTGGCTGCAAAACAATACATGAGTTTATCTAGTACTTGATTCCCACTAAATGTGTAGAGGCAGTGTAATATGCTACACAAAGTACGTACAAGGCCAAAATTACGCATTCACTTTCTTGTTGCATCTTCCCTAGCAAGCCCTCATTTTAGAGCACTTTAAGGTGTTGTCAAGCGCAATGGACATTCACGACTAAGGCGAATTCTCGAAGAGATACAAAACGCATAATTAGTTACTCTTGGGACACCAAGGAGAGTTGAGATTTTCATTGACCCTGTGTATCTGTCGTCAAACCACTCCACTTGAAATACGTGGTTTTGTGATTTAATTAATGGATCCTCGCGCGGTAAGCCGTCATCTTTAAAAAAATTGGCAAAGACGCGTGAGATTGTTAGACAAAATTTCCAAAGCGATATGCTGAACGGTGTGTCGATAAATAAAAAAACAGTTATCGGGCTATCTAATGCTAAACCACTATTGCTCTTACCAAATACTCACTACTTTTTAATAGTGCGTAACGCTGATAAAATGAAGTCACTTCAACTCTACCTGCCAGGGCGTTACTACAAAGAAATAACGTACTTTACATGGAAAGCAGGTTGGTGGTACATATTAGTATCTTGTCAAGATGCATATGAGATTATTCTTTTAAGCAGGAGCTAGATACCTTTAGTCCATGTTATGGAAAGCTCATTAGGCATTACGAAAAAAAGTTCCTATTAGAATTTCCTAACAAATCAGTTTAACTCTCTACATATTCATCGACCTGAATTTTATGTCTTACCAGTTACATTTGCTACAATTAAATTGGCAAACGAATACTCGCCTAACTGACGCATCATCCACAACTTTATGTAAGTCGCTGACCCAAACTGAGGACGCTAAACCACGAATCCACTAGTTTACCTGATAGGTGGTCAGAACGGGTTATCAAAAATTACACGGTCAATTCCGTCTTAAGCAAGTAAATTAGAGTAATTAGAGCAAAGTGAAGCATCATCTGCAGAATGTTAAAAGCCCTCTCGAAATTCAAACATCCTAGACAAATCACATTAACGGACGTGGGGATCAGCTAATACTACAACGGTCATGGGATCGTTTTGTTCGATTTCAGCCTTAGCGTTCCGTTATTGCACGTCACCACGATCAATACGGTAGTTAAACTGAGCATTGACAAATTGCAGGCGTTTGGGATATCCAACCAGGATTAACAATACGTGATTGCTGGCAGTCCATCTCATCGCCACATTTGCCATTAATTGGGAAAAGTGAACACAGACGGACAGCCTATTGGCAGATGGATTGTCCCTACCCTGGCAACCTGCTTACTCCAAAAAACTCAGAAGTTTTTGGTCACGTTTTAGCAGTGGATTACGAGGAATCGCATTCAGACACCGCCCTCACCCCTCATGCAGACACCGGTCCACATACCTCCAATCATTCTGACCACGCTTTCACCACTCATGTCCCTCATGGCCACGTCAGGGACTCATAAGAATGCAGGCACACGAAAAAAAACGTAACAGGGCTGAGCCATGAAGACAAAGAGACGTGCCTCCGTCGTCTCTGGGTTTCTTAACCTTTCCGGGTAGCGTGAGCGGGTATGCATTACCAAGAGGTACCGGTGTATTTCAATGCCCACAAATCAATACATCAACATGAAAATACATCAATAACATCAAAATAACGCAACTCTTAACATCTAAATTACGTCAAAGCTAAAAATGAAACACAATCAAATGTCGAAGAAAATCACAAATTTCTGAGTAGTATAACCGAATGCTTAGTGGTGTTGAGTCTGCTGAGTGCTAAGACAGACAGTGAAGCTCGAAGGACAAGCCTAGTCTGCTGTGGATGCCGATGGTGTCATCGAGAAGAGCGCGCGAGTGCCCCTTCGTGAGGTCAGGCAAGCCGTCCGCGTGCCGGAAAAGAGAAATCGGGTGACGAGTAATTCGCCAGAAGTTGGGCTAGAAAAGGCCTACTAATGTCCCCTTGGGATGATTTTGCTGTCAACGTATGTACGGCGATCAGAATTTGATTGAAAATGGTAAAATCCAATGTAAAAAATGAGGAATCTATCTCCGCGGTAGTCTTGGATAGCGTGGACATAGATCAATAACGTCGTGGTAGGTTTATTTTTCACAAAATCCTTAATTCGTATCTTATTTCTTGGGTGTGGAGAACTAAATTTTGTCGAATTGGGTACTTACTGTCTCACAGCCAGAGCATCCACAAGAACCAAACATGCCTGCTAGGTACAGACTCAGTTTAAAGCATTCGCGCTGTAACCTCGTAATTCTAATTAAATTACCTCTTTCTCAACAAATCAGCAAATACTTAAAATGCATGATTACTTCCATGAAATGCATGAAATGCCTACACCGTGACTCATTGAATTTCCACAATTTAACAATGTCACCTCAGAGACAACCTGGGTCGTGATTTTAAAGACACTTGGGCAGTATCGACACTCCAAGCGAATTCTTTTCTACAACAATACATGAGTGTTCATCTGGGATTTTAAAAGCACATTAAGCAAGTTAGGACGCAATCTTTTGTTTGGTACAGGCATGTCTACCACCACAACATTTTCCGTGAAACTTGGGAAATATTTCGCATAACCAAGGCCCTGAAGGATGCACGTAGGATTATGGGGTACAATAGGACCTCAGCAGCTCAAATGCATTAGGAGACCTCAACTGGGCTTCAGACCCACCGTTACTAAATGCATGTGCGATTCGTAAATGCAATGAAAACATGTAACAACCTGTCTTGGATTCTTTGTTCACACGCATTACCCCAGCGCTACAACGACTACAGTCACCTCCCTCATCGCTTTACTGGCAGCCTACTCGACCTTGGGTTACATCGACGAAACCCGTTATCGAGCAGGTATGAATTTTGGGGAGTTACAATTCAATCAGTCTCTTCATCTAGGCGAAAAACCAACGCTCAATTGTTAAGTGAAGTTCGGCCAACAACAACAAAGTCAACTACTGATTTGTTGAGACATGCTGCAACCACAAGAACCGCGTGGCTAACGCATGCGGGGAAATCGATGTTGCAAAACCTCGAGGCACCTGCGAAAGACACGCGTCTCGTAATGAACCTACAAACTGCGGGTCCACTGGGTGCTCATGGCTTAATTTGTATGAAGGGATATCAAGGCAACCACCTTCCGTTTTGTGCCAAATACGATGGAGAAAATTGCTGTTCCAGACGATGCGGTTGGAGTTTTGGCCAGCCACGATTTCTGCCACTGTCTACACGCTGCGCGGCTACTTCGTATCCTGCTGAAAATTGGATAATAAGACGTTGCCTTAGAAAGGAAATTAAGTGGCCGGGCACGCCATCCAAAGCCAACGACACACAGGAAAGCAGCGGCAATAATGCTCAAACAAAGGAAGCCCTTCCGGAGATAAGAGCCATTTTAAAGACACCCGATTCGATAATTTCCTTAAAGAGCGATGAAGAAGTGGAGAAAAATAACGCCTCGACGGCGTCGGATCACCTTCATGTGGAGGTTCGAGTGAGTCCTCGCTATTGCAGTGAATCGCAAAAACTTGGCAATCCATTAGGCACACAGGGTAGCCAGCGAACAAATGTACTTAGACTAGTGCCCTCAGAAAAGATACAGATACCCCGTGTGCTTAGAATAACGAACAGAGACTTTATGTTAACGCCAAAAAGTGCTGACGAAGAGTACAGCACAAACGCGAATTTAGGTGAGCCGGAAGAAGATAGAGTGAGTCGCGAAATGGAAGTTCAAATGGGCAACCTAGTACTTCCATGTTCATCTGACGGACTCGTCGAAAAGAGGGCCTCTCCTTTGAGGGCAGAAAACAGAGAGAAACGTCGATTATTTGAAGAATATTACCCACAAACAGGGTCACTGAGAGAGCTTGATGAAGGGAGGAAAGCGTTGCGACAATTCATCCAAAGCATCTCAGCCAAAATAAAGAAGCTCACTCAAAAGAGTTATTAAACACAAGACTGGCCTCGATCAGGAATCAACCGGTTTTTTATTTGTCATCAAAACGATTCACGGTGACTTGATAGAACTTGGTTAAAAAACGAATTTTGAATGCAATTAGACTGATTACACAAATACTCTGCACTTGTTGCCTTTGCCAGTGCCCTAGACATAGAAAATAATGAAAGTAACAACCCCAAAAGACAAAACTTTGCGTTCACTTAAGAGCTGTGGTAAACGTTTTCTGTGGTAACAGACAGAAATCCGCTTCAATCCCTAGTGGGACTTGATAGCTTTGAATAAGGATTTAAAGTACTGCTAGAAATTTACCTGGTTGAACTTAGGTATGTTGGAAGAGTTTGAAATGTACAAGTAACCAAAATCGTCCAATGAAGGATACTTAAATTGTGTAAGTTCGAAACCTTAAAAATTACTTTGCGCGAACAGAAGGCTGGGGCCAATACCGAGACTAATTAAACCGACCTGATATTAATCCTATACCGAACGGTACAGTTATAATGACTGTAATATTATTATTTACCAAGACAACAATCAAGGAAGAAAATGACTGTTTAAAAAGGTTAACTTCACACTAAGAAACGCAGCAATATTTAAGAGCGCAATACACCACAGCGCAGAGCCAGGCTAATAATACCAAAACAATAAAAGTGGAGTACAATATTTAATCGAGTGCATATAAAAAACGAATGTGGCCGGAGAGTTGTGACTACCTAGATCCGGGGTTTGGGGAAGAGGTTACTCGACGGGGTGGAGCATCGATCTTTGAGTCGATCGTCAAGCTGGCCAAAGACTCGGTTATTTCTGCACTAGCCTGATTTGAGCGAGTTTTCATAAGGGCCTGTGGTGTCATCGCGTTCTCGCCTATTTGAACTGCCGGAAGACCGTCATTAAGAGTTTTTAGCAGAACACAGGCCTGACAGAATTTCTGACTCGAAATGTACCCACAGGCACTGCAAGTTCCTAAAAAAATTAACAGTTGAGTGGGCAGCAATGTGTACTGACACAATACCCTGGACACTCAGTGAGGACAAGAGGGTGAATTTCGAGAAACGGGCACAGCAGCGGCGTGCAAATAAGGTCACCTCCCAGGGGTAAAATCAAGAAGAGGTGGGATATTTAAAAAAAACCTTTTTAAGACAAAATATCACATATCTTGACAAAGTAAACAGAAAATAGATCATTAGTACTTGGTAGAAGTGAAAGATGCGACTTGAAATTTTGACGTCAAGAGAATGAACATGAATGAAGTGTTTTGAGTGAGTGGCCGACCACTGCCAGGCACTTTATTTCATCATTACAAGTAAAACTGAATCCGCGTAAAAATAGCTCAAGGGTGGGGCGAAAAAGCAAGGGGATTTTCGACCTGTGCCGAACATGAATTACTTTGATACAAACCATGAAAGGAACTAAGATATTTTTCATCAACAAAGAAAGGTAAGGACGTGGAATAATTTTTGGTATTATATCAAGAATTGTGACAGATGCAGCTACTGTACAAATGCCTTATACGCATTACAAAACAACGCACAATTAGTAAAAAATTACCCTGTGTAGGTTTTTTGACTCCCTGTCTGATGACCATTTGCTCGCCGGAACTGATGATATCTGTGAATTGCAAACACACATTAGTGGGGTTAAAGAGGACTGTGTTAACATAAAAGAGCGAAGTTGGAAGCCAACATATATCAGATAATTCTGAGCAAACGTCGTTGGACGATTCCAATCCTTTCAAAAAACAACCAACCAGTGTCAAAAGTTGTATTTTCTTAAAGTAGAAGTATTTATTCGATAATTGGACTTGAGCTGACTAATCAAATGCATACATGTCACCATTACAGGGAACAATTACAACTTTAGGTAAACAACCTATTCGAACTGCGTAAACGTTTTGGGTATATCGCAAACAGCCAGTTCAAAATTCCTCCAACCTGCTTACTAATTTTAAATTCCGTCAGTTAAGAAATGCGTGGTGAAAAGAGAAGGCGGCTTTAGTTGCTGTCAGGTTCAATAGTTAAACGTCTAGACTTCTAGGGAAAACAGGTTGACCTTGCTTTGTTAACTGAGCATTTAACAGATAACTGAGTCCACTTCCTGCACTAGGCTTAGCCGTTACGACAGATTTGACCTAGCAGTAAGTCTGAAGTACTTTATATTCTGCATGATCAGTACCAATAAAGCAGAACTAAAACTAAAAGGATTTGGAAATGGCATACGACCGCACCGTTTAAACGTCCTCTTTTATAGCCTAAAACGTTGGCATTCTACTTGTCATGCTGCCAACCGTTAACCAAGCAGCCAACGTCACAACATTTACACTAAACCGACAGCTGGATTTGGTTATTTCTACACGAAGTTCACGAATCGATATTTTGAAACATTTTTGCCAAAAACAGTACTTTCAAGTGATTAAATGATCAATACGAAGGGGTGGTTGATAATACCGGTTTTGTACCTATCGAAAAAAGAATGTGTAACAAGTTTTATCCTCTTTTTGACATATAACAGAAATTTCAGAAAGTCTGCAAGATTGCAGGTTGCACTAACTTATAAATTTAAACTAGGCGTGGCCAACACAAAGACGTTTGAGAAACGATCGTCCAAACAGTGAGCCAATTAAACATAAACCACAAAATTAGTAATTCGGCTTTATGGAAGTAAGGTCATTAAAAAATAATTTAAAATCAGCGCACAATTTTAAAACAGCGTCGTCAATGCGTCAGTCTGAGGGCTGTGGCAAACTTAAGTCATAACAAATTCGCGTATTTAACCAGTCCAAAATTATCGTAGGCTGTCTATAAGGACTGAGAAAGTCGGACGATTGCTAAGTACCAGACAACTTTTGCCTTGCACCTAGACATAAATGCGCAGTTTGAGCTCACCGAGAATGCTTCGCGGGCGCAATTTTTCCAGATCTTTGATGTAGGCCCGAGCGAAACCCCGATAGGCGTTTGGAGCGTACTTGCACTCTGTTGAAAAATAGTCCAGCTTTCGCGCGATGGCATACATCACGATCTCCTTTTCGTAGGCATACTTGAACGGTTTGAATCGCGGCAGCGTCCCATCTGCCCCCTGAAAAACCAACTGGGTGCTGAAATTGTTGTTAACCCGGGAAAAATTTCACAATATGCATTACAATCTGAGGAGGGATTTGGGTCAATGATCACGTTAAGTACTCTAATATTTTGCATTGTTGCACACACATCGGCCTGGCGGGACTAGTTACTTGTGGACTTCAAATTCAAACACGTGAGCAATGGTTCAGAAAGTCTTACGCATGGGCAAACGCGAAAGTATAATTCGCCCCCATTAAACAGGCCTATCCCCGTCAACAAAACAAACATTTGATATCTACTTAAAAACTATTTAATTATCCATCTGGGAAAAATTTAGTTCACCAAAACACAGGCTAAAAAGCGGACTTTTACATAATCACACAAACATTTGCTCTATTGACACATTTTATTCGGACCTTTAATTAATGCCAACTAACGATGTTGAGAATTGAATACGAAGGAATTGAAATCGAACATTAGTGTGCAAATAAAATGACTGACAGTAAACTTTTACCATGCGCTCATTTTTTAACAAACAATAAACCGCTTTTACCGACTTGGACGAATTCCAACTGATTTAAAATTTGGGCAGGGTTGTACACAGCGCTTGTTACACACCAAAGAAAGTTTATTTCGCCATAGTCAAGAGGCTTCGATCTATGCTAAGTAATATAGCAGACGTCTTAATAAATTAAACTCTTCCACAAAGCAAGCGACGAGGTGCTGAAAAGTATTGCGCCTTTTAAAAAAAAGGTGAATAAAGCAGTCCCTCAGTCTCATAACCAAAATGTGATTTTTACTAGGAATGACGTGTCAAATCTACGCTGTTTTGTTATATTTGCAAAGTGACAAATAAATTTTAGAAAATCACAACAAAAATGCACATTTTTAATGACACCACAACATGGAGAGTTAGTAGTTTACGAAAAGTGAATCTTAAAGTTTATAGAAAAAAACTGAACCACATGAAAAATATGCTTACAGTAACAATGCCCGTACAACGCTGAAGACGGCCGATATCGCATCTAAGGACTGTAAATTGGAGACAGTATACTTTATTATGCAATGATAGGTAATCATTCAGAAGCCAAAAACTAAAGCTACTCGAAGTTGTGATACTAATCTCATTCTCCACCTACTTACCATTCATTATCACAGTTTCAGCAACATCATCGGCATTGTGTCCGGTGCATATTTTGTTGGCTCCAACAATTGCCGCACCCCGATCGAGGGCCTGACGTCGAAAGACACCACAAAATGTACAGTTATTCTTGAGTCCTATCTTCTTAACTATATCATCCATAGACCATCCATAGAGATCCTTGTAGGAGAGAACTTTGAGTGGTAGTCCATATTGTTCCTTATTACGTTTTACCGTCTGAGAAGTTACACCAACTTTAAAACAATTACTTTAATTTACTTCTAGAGAGTCGTCGCGATAGCCAGATATACCTTCATCAATAGACAGCAAAATTAATTCGACACCATAATCATGACGATCATTCAACAGTTTCATAACATAGGCCAAAACAGTTGAATCTGCGTAAAGATGTTAGAGTTAACAGTGTACTACCTTTGCCACCAGAAGCTCCAATGGCCACTTTGTCTCCTCTGTTTAAAAGTTTTGCAGTTTTGATAGTCCAGTGGACTTCCTCTTCGAAACACCAGAGAAAACAGTCACGACAGAGGACATTGCCCTAAAACAAGCCCCAGTAATTGAACATATGGACCACTTACGGTTTTAGGTCGCCTAATAAAACCCTTGGATCCGCAGCGTTCACAAACAAGCATTCTGAAAAGCAAACATAAGAAATGGAGAAATCGGAAACAGTTTCAGATATCACGAAAGTGGACCAATATAGCGGTTATCTTTCTATCGTAGTATTAAACGGCTTCAATGAAGGTTTTCGAAACGGCCTAACGTCAATTAGAAGCCGTTACTTAGTAAAAAAGGCAAAGAACTCATCTTAGGGTCATTCATTCAAATGATTTCTGCAAAGAATTTTAAGAAAGCCTGTTTAAAACAATAAGGCGTGCATATAACATTAATATCTGCCAACTTCGTCTAAGGACAAAATGTAAGAATCAACGTGACGAAAAAACGAACTAATGCTCAATTACATTCACGTGAGGTAATGCCGTACATCAAAGACGAAAATCGTTTTTAAGAGCCATCGATTATCAGTGACTCCAAAACCCATACTGGTATTTGTAAAAAATTGCACTTTAGCATGAAAACGAAAAACATTTTTTAGCTATTTGAATGCAATGCAAGAGTACTGAGCGCTTTTAGTTATTAAGATTGGTGTTTGTACTAGAAAGCTGCGAAAAATACGCAAATTAAAAAAAAAAACATTGAGACCCATATTTTCTACATTCAGGGATATATCTAACATAACGTGCAAGCTCTTGGTACTAATATGAGCATACGGTCCAAAAATTAAATCTTGACAAATTCAACAAAGGAACTTTGTTAACAAAAGAATACTGATCCTTCTAGTTAGTTCGTGGTTTGCGTACCAAGCGAAGGGTTAACAATTAATTACATATTCAGGCAAGAGTTGAATGTATTCGTTCAATAACTTCAGTGTCATCATAGATTATTAATGCAAACCAAAGTTTTAAACTGATTAATCTACACCTTAATTCTAAATTGTAGTGCATTCAACTAATGGTGCACAAACTTAGATTTAAAAAGTGAATGAAGCAGATTGAAAGATGTTAGAAATACAAAATTATGTTATGAAGACAACAGCAATTTATTTTCAAAAAACGCACGACCTGAATAATGGCGAATATTTTATTGCAAAATACAGAAAGTTAACAAAGTTCGAAAAACTAACCGAAAGACAGAAGCTACCAGCTATACAAGGTCCAACTCTGACGACCCGATGCGACGCGCAAAACTAAAAACCAAGATTAACTACAGATGGCGGGAGAAGGAATAATAAACTATAACATAAGAGATAATTTAATTGCTCATTTTGTGACTGCGTGCAATTTGTGGTTTAATTAGCAGATGTAAAAAAATCTGCCTAAATTTGGTTAGTAGACATCTATAGCAGTTTGGATTAATTAGAGATCTTTCGATTGACGTAATGTTGAACAACTATTAATCCAATAGTATTCGCAAATGTAATTTAAAAAAATTCCAAAAAATTAATGGAATTAAAATAAAAATTAATGTTTATGTTCGAGGGATGTTCTTCACACTTCCATCAAATCTCTTTTAATTTCATCATAAAATACTTATTTACTAAATAATAATTGAAATCTTGACATCGACCACTGTTTTTACGTTCACATACTAGACCAAAGAAAGAACAACATGGGTTTTTTTGCAAAGACGAATAAAAAGGCATAGGAAATCAAGATGGAAAATCGTTATACTGTTCAGTCTTGAGTCGTGATATCAGATAATTTCATGGTTTAAAAGTCTTGATTTTTTGGATCTCATGCATTATCCTGTAACTATGTCGTAGAACTCAATTGGACTTTTTATTGGATTTATGAACTTAACTCAATTGCATACCTTGAACAGCAACTCAAATTTCTTTTTCTGACAGGCGATTAATGGATTCTATAGTAGCTCAATTAAATTAGGGACAACGACAGTTAGGTATAATCAAAATTTTATTGCAGTGGATATAAATATCAAGTGTATAATATTGTACATCGGTTGATATATAGTTTAGCATTATTCTTCATCGATATTTCGGACGTCACTCCACTGGACTTCCTTTAAATATTTGCAGGAAATGGAGGTGAAAATACACCAATGGATGTGGGAAAATCTGGATAATTTAAACAACCATATCTGAATATATTCGATCTCATTTTTCTCTAAGTAAGGTTTTTTAGGGCCCACAAATTGTAGGCGCATGTTTTTTAGTTGGGTCATAACCCTTTACGGGGGGCGAAAAAAATTGGTATCGTCATGGATGGTTAAATGTGATTTTCGACTTCTTGTTCATGAAAATACATCAACGTCATTTCAAGTGTAGTGTGGTGTAGAATTCCCGAGACTTATTATGAAGAAGACTGGTACAACAGAGCAGGCTTTATTGACTGATAACAAGCCAGAACTACACGTCAGGCACCACTCATTATATGCTGCCCATCATTCCTGTCCGTCTCTAGTTAGCTGCATATCTTCCTCGCATGCAATTGGATCGAAGAGGGACAGAGGATTGGCCAGCGTGGTCCAATATCTTGCTAGATGTGGGGTATCGGGGAATGTCGAATTGGATAATTTATAAATCATTAACAGTGTGGGGGACGAAGCCAGAATCTGAGGACAGCTTCAATCCTGAAAGGGACCCCGTGTATTGTGGCGTCGGATTAGGGCGCAGACATGTTGGACCACCTGGCCTCAGCCAATCCCGTGTCTCTCTGCGATCCAATGGCATGCGGGAATGGAAGGCAGTCAACCAGAGAAGGACATGGATGAGATGCAGTATATAATGAGCGGCGTGGCCAGCGTGGTGGATTCGGATGGAAGGCGCCTGACGTGTGGCTCTGGCTTCTGATTGGTCAATAAAGCCTGTTCTGTTGTACCGGTCTTTTTCCTATTAGGGCTCGGGTATTCAACAGTATTAACGTCTGAGGGCGCAGGCATGTTAGACCACGCTGGCTTCGGCCAATCGTCTGTCCCTCTGCATTCCAGTAGCATGCGAGGACGACATGCAGCCAACCAGAAAAAGACACCAATAAGGAGCAGTATATAAAAAGCGGCGTATCCAGTGTGGTGGACTCGGATGGACGGCGCCTGACGTGTGGTTATGGCTTGTGATTGGTCAATAATGCCTGTTATGTTGTACTATTCTTCTTCATAATGGGACTCTGGTTTCTACACAAATACTTCTATAGTTGACATGACCACCGTTGCAGCTTTATTAAAGGCAACCATTCGCAGAATCCTAATTACCAATATTTTTAGCAATTTTCCACCGCTATTGTCGAATCTTTGACTTGGCAATGATATTCTTTTGGCACCGAAATTAAAAATTTTGATAGGGAATCCCTATGATGTGCATTGCAGTTTGTTCCTTTTTCTACCCCTTTATTTATTCATTGTTCATTCACCAGCAGAGTTCCAGCTAAACGAACAATAGTTAAATTAGAGTAAAATCGAGCACATCAGGACTGAGGCGCAGCGAGTTTTACCTAAACATTGGTCACCTAATCATCCTCTCACCATAGTCTCTGTCTTGGATTCCAGCCAACATCGAATGCAGGGTTGTATCACATCTCCAGTCCCATTATACCACAGATGAGCAACTGACCATACCCTCAGGCTGGGCTATACTGCAGGCAAATTACCCAAAATGACGACAATTGGCTCCCTGAATTAAATCATACAGACAATGGGTGGGAATAGAACATTTGTAGGCAGAAAGCAGTCATGGCTTAGTAAAAAACGTATTACCATGTATTCATACAAATTGACACTAATAATGTATTAGCATCATGAAAACAAGCGCAACAAAGGATACACAGGTGCCTCATTAAAAGTGACAGCACCAAATGCAACTGAAAGCTGAATAACAAAAAGGCGGCATGTGCACGTATTAACACGATGATGTGTCGGCGTCATCAAGAGAGCATCGGTCAACACCACCTGTAACCCGCTGCTGCGTGTTGGGTGTACTGTCTAAGTGTGAAGCGGGGGCCCCTGAAGTTGGTGGCGAACCGTCCGAGAGGCTAGTGTTGCTCCCACCAGATTCATTGTCATGGTATAGGTGGGGTGGACCGAGAACTGTCTTAATAAGGTTCGGCAGATCGGAAAAACCGGCAGCGGATGATGAGTTGGAAGAAAAGGAATTTTCGAGATCTTGATAAGGAGGTGGTTGTTGGGTAAGGGTGTCGCCGACATAAAAGTAGCTTGCCTGACGAAAATCAGCGTCGGCAAATCGCGGCGCAAGCAAAAACAGAAGGTGCAGGAATGTAGGCCGTTGCGCTGGACGGTATGCCCAACAGTAAAGCATTACGGATTGTCTTAAAGGAAAAACAGGTTTTTTTTCAATAAGAAAGGTAAAGATTAAATCCAAATGAGACTTATAAATTTGCTAGATGTTCAAGATAAAAGCCGACCTAAGACATCGATTTTAACAATACGCACCAATACAACATCAGATTATTTAAAAAGGATAGATTACCTATAGGCCTTTGAGACAGAATACTATTCTTCACACATACACAGCTGGAATTCAGATTTTATTGAGGGCAACATGTCCTCGCCCTCGTCTGAACATTTACCCATTTACAACACACGTTTTGGAAGAGCGGAAGTTTGACAATCGAAATTCACATATTGGGCTTCGGATAGTTGATTACAATATAACATGGTGAAAACTCACAGCAAAGGAGGGCAGTTTATGGGAGCTCCACCGGAGACTAGCGTGTTTCCATCCAGAACATACGCAATCACCTCTTCATGTGACATTCCTTGGTAGGGCAAGCACGCCATTGTAGCAATCTCCCAGAGCACAACACCAAACGACCTAAAAGTAATATATGGTGGAGACCTGCAAGACGCTTCAAACTTAGAGACCAACCAAGGGGTAAGCATAACATCGAAGTGGTGAATGAAGGATAGTTTCTTTTTCACTAGATTTTAATACTAATTACAACTGCTCGTTAAATACAGATATTTCCAGTAAATTTGCAGAAATTGCGCAGACCTCAGCAACGTCCGTCAGTTTTTAACAGAATTTATTAGACCTAAACAGGCGCAAAGAGTATATGTGGGACCGTGGAGTGTTAGCGATTGCGCACAACTCAGTATTCAGCCGATTTATAATGCGTATTTTCAATATGCAACAGCTAGATATAAAGATTCTATTAATTTAGGGAGTCTGTATACAAATTACAATGCAGGTGCACATACATTTAGGTTCGCATACCCAATTAAAATGGCCATGGGGTTGCGTGACACGATACTACTCTGTTTAGTGGATAGGCAAATAAATGTTGTGCACGCATTTACGTCAAAATATCATTCACAGAACTGGAATACTTTGCGAGAACTTCACATAGAAACGAGACACTGACAGCCGCTTGACGCAGAATAAATACAGAGGTAAACAACAAAACTGACGAAATCTCGGACTTCCAGAACCAATACATCACAACATTACTAAGGCATCGCAAAACAGAACCGGGAGCACACATGACGGAATAAAATATCCGGGTATGAAAATGAGACTCAGTGTCCAATTAAAGTGGTAGCACGTACCACACATCGGACCGAGAAGTAAAGTAAGCCGACTGCAGAGACTCTGGCGCCATCCATCGAACAGGCAACTTTCCGGCTCCCACCTTGTGATAGTAGTTTCTTTCGTATATGTCGCGACAAAGGCCAAAATCGCCAATCTTCACGACACCTCGGCCGTCAACGAGACAGTTGCGGGCAGCCAGGTCGCTTAAGGTAAAAAAAAGTACGCCGCTAAAGCAAAGCATAAGCCCTACCTGACCATTAGTTTCGTCAATATGTGAGGGATCGCTAAAGAGTCCTGCATAAAGGGTAGGGGCTGCTGTGGGCACTCCTCATTACATTGAAGTAGGGCACATCGACTTAATCAAATTCTGGACCACATTGAGACTATATCCAGAGTTAATTCTGTAACAGACGCGTAGGTGACATCTGTTGGGCTATGTAAATCAATGCATGCATTCAATAAGCTTAAAAAAATTATGATTACCGGTGAACATATTTTTTTCGCTCGAGATATGCCATCCCATCGGCTATTTGAACAGCCCAGAGGTAAGCCTGTACGGGTTTCACGAAACCGATCCCGCTGTCACCCAGCTCCCGCAGGTAAGACGCCAGGTCCCCGTTCTCCATAAGTTCCATCACAACAAACAGGCCGTATTGGGAAAAGAGCTTGATCGAATCGGTACTGGAACATTTTTGAACAGCCGAAGACAGAATACCTTCTAAAATTTAAAGGTCCAGGTCGTGTGAAAACGGAAAATTCGTCCCAAAACAATAGCCAAAGGAAGGCTAAATATCACTTTCCGGAATTAAACTATAAATAACACAGAAGCAAAAGCAAAGAAATACTTGAAGTTCCATATTTCCTAACCTTAATATTCTTCGCAAACCCACAGGCCGTAAACGTGTAAAAGTGTTAAACACATTAACAAGACCCAAAAGTAAAATAACTCACAACTGCAGTATCTACTACTACAATAAGGAATTACACTTGTTTACCTACTATTTGAATAGGTCCCAGGGGCAATAATATTTAGAAACCTGCTACCAAAGCCGGAATACCAGGTCGAAACTTGGACGCAGGTTGCTTCGAGTTAAAAATGGATTACTCCCACCAATCTGATCCCATGCCCCCCAGCCTTAACGTGCTGGTTTCAGACCCAATTACCACCGTTTGTGATGAACCAAGATTCTGCTGCAAACTAGTCTCTAGGATCATTGGAACCAAAATCTATGTAAAAGTAACCAAAAGGAATGCCTCAAAACAAACGCAAATGACGTTTCTGTAATTAGGTTTCGCAGTTAGGGAAAGATCAGGGATGCATATATTTTCATTTCATTCATTTACGGGTATGAGCACTGCAGTAATTAACTTATGGGGGAACAGATGGGCGCGATTGGAGGAGTGGTCTTCAGAAAAACATGTAACAAGTTGACGCCGTTCTGTGGCAATTCAAGTAAGAGTCAGACGGAGCCAATGCCTCACCCCCACCTGACCTGGAGCCCTATTTGCATCGTGCATGGACGAAATTAAAAAAACAGAGTGAGTGAAATTTCGACGTGTTACAATACAATCTTGCCTGGTTCTTCAGCGGCACCTTTCCGACGTTTGCGGTCTTTCAGGAGGCGGAAAAACGACCCACGTGGAAACCATCCGCTTCTCAGGCCGTCTTGTTTCGCTGCTGGCCCATTTACGCCTCCAACAGGAGATTCCGGTCCACCTGGAACATTGAATACAAGTACAGGCTCTTCCAAATAATGCTACCAAATGACACACAAAATCGCCTGAGGTAAAACTGAGGGGCTGGTAAAAAAACAAACTGACTCTTATAAGAGGATTGACTGAGAGGTCTTCAAGCTGAATAAATCGCAGGGACTCTTAAGTTTGATGTTTGAGAAATCCGTCAAAAGTTTGAACATCAAAATAATACTGAAACGAACCGGCTATTCGGCCGCGTATTAATACAAACACTAAAAACGTCCAAGCCCCCCAACATAATTAACAAATCAAATCAGGTCTTGTTGGACGAGAACAAAGCACAATGTGAGGAATCTAGGTTATAAAATTAGACATCTAGACCTTGTATCAAAAAAGCAAACCCAAAGATATCAGAAAACTTTAACATATTTTTAAGAGATGGGCGTGACTTACGAATTTTGCTCGATGATGTCGTAGAAACAAGTGGATGGGGTGGCGTATGGGAACCAGCATTCTCACAGACCTCGGGGACAGTCTCGTCCGAAGAGAAACCTAATGGTCTTTTTCTAATCGGAACTGGCACTGCCTGGCGACTCGTTTGTCGTCGCGAACAGGAAAGTGCGCCGCCGAAAAGACGCCTGAGGTTTAGACGAAATCGCTTCTGTAGGCCATCGCCTCCACCTCGCCTGGAAGCCCTAAAGGCTGACGGAGGCGAACTTTTGCTCACTACGCCAAACAATCGAACAACGTGGAAACTCTGAAACTGCTTCATATAGCAGGCCTCAGTGATAAAGTCGCGGCGGTCGAAGACGGTGCTGGTTGACGACAGTGTCTAAATTGAGAAAATATAAAGGACATATACGCCAACCTGGCGATGTAAATTAAGTTTGCAAATAGACTACAGTACAACAAATATAAGGAATGAATGTAATCGATAGAAATCTTTGGGAAACCACCTGACAAATTTGTTATTAGTTATAAAGGCAACTGAACACTGAGTAATTTTTGCGGAAAATAAAGGCCAGTTATAAAACATTTGAGAGGAAAAATGGCTTAGAGACGAGTGTGTGTGGTGGTTCAAAACATCCTAAGGTGGGTGCAATACACTAAGGGAAAAAGCCTTACCTTCTGACAATATAGAAACTGGTGACATCAGTAATTCAGACATTTATATTAACGATAAAAAGCACTTTCGTAAAGCTTTAACAATAGGCTGCCCAGGTAAAGTGCCTTTTCAAGAACCCCGTGATCAGGCAACTATGGCTGACTTTATTACTAGTAACAGCAGTAATGCGTGGATGACAGCGGTAATTGGACTGAGAGTAGTGTTCGAAAAGGAAAAGAAAAATAATTTTGGGTTAAAAACAAGATGTTACCTTAATGGCTACTGGGATATTGTAAGGCTGAGGGTAGAAACAACGGGCCGGTGTGCGTAGTGTCTTCACAACACCACGGTAGACCATTCCGAAATTACCTCGACCAAGAGGATGACGGAAGTTCAGTGTATCGATGTCCTCCAATCGCATTTCCCAGTCATCCACTTCATAGACGTGCCAGTACTCCGGGTTTGGAGATTGCCATTCGGAATCCATCAGGCGCCTCAGAAAAGCAAATATGATTTGACTATACATTATTTAAGGCTATCAATAAAAAAACTAAAAGCTTCTTGGACAAGCATGTGCAACCACTACTCAGGCATAATCAAACTCAATATTTACACACACTATTATCCATTCAATCGTTTATTTGCCAGCCATAACCAATTAATAGTGACTAGCCCCTTGATTAATTCCGCTTAAGCGCCAATCCTCACTAGATTATCAACGCGTGTTGGAAAGTGATATGGCAGGTCGCTAGGCACGAAAATTCCGCATCTTACTAAAATTAAGATGGTGAGTTTTGTAGTAATTGAATATGACGATTTCATGAATCGCATGAATTTTGAATGATGCCAGGTGGTGACTCAATAGTGCGTTCTTGAGAGGTCAGGTACGTGTGTGTTATGCAGCACCATTCGTCGGAAATATGAATATAGGTTTGACGAAAAGTATGGCTTTTCAACGAACGCAATCGGACGATGGCGATGAAGACCAAAAATATCATGTTAGATTTGGCGTCTCGTGAGCAGGCGGAATATTTGTCAAAAGTTAAAAATAAAAGACAACGTGAAACATTAAAAAAAACGGGATTGTATACTAGATGTAGAGAACACGCGAACGATGGAAAGGAATAATGTCTGATCAATGGGAATGGAAGTGCTTCAGCAGTATTGATTGTACCCTATGGAAACGACATTTCAAGGACCTACGAAATGAGTGCATAGGAGGCAGAAGTTAATACGAATAAAGTCCAAAGCAATGCATGCAGCAAAAATAGGAAACCACACCAACAATAGATAGCGCAAGGTCTAGTCTAAATTGCAAAATTCTTTAGGATTTTCGTATAATCGAAGCATATCAGCTTAAACAGAACAAGTCACTCACTTTTTGCGAACTCGGTGAATTATGCAGGCGATGACTGAAGTCATTAGCACAGACAGGACAGCGACGCATATGGCAGCCACCATTATTATTTTATCTACAAATAAGTACAATGGTTCCATAAACAACGCATAATATCTGCTCAAAATAGTACAGCAGTGAGTTTAAAGCCAATTAGCAAGCAAAGGGAGCATGGAAACAGTAAACGAAAAGACCCATTACCCAAACTGTGCAAAAAAGAAATGCGAGATTGGAAGCCTGGTTGATTACTGCAAGGGACTCATTTGAGAACAAAAGTGCTTCTCAAATAGGTGTAACTGATATCGATTTAGAGGAAGTAAATACATGTGCTGAATAGTATCAAGAGACGGATTGCATAAGGCATACCCCTTGGAGACGTTTTGACCTCAAAGAGCAACTGCGCAGTCCAGGAACTATTGCCAGCCAGCGAAACAGCCATGATCTGCAGTTCGTAGAACCCTGGCAGGAGATTGAGAAGTTCCGCCCCACCGAGACTCAGATTTTGAGCCACTAAGGGAGCGGAGGCATTTCTTTTGCCAAGCAAACGAAGATGACGCTGAGATCCGCCCGGAACGCCGGCTGATTGCCAGTTGGCCCGAGAAACACAAAGCGTTGACCAAGAAGAGGAGGCCGAAGGTTTTGCCCCCTAAATTAACGGTTTTGTGACACAAAGTGAGCTGAAAGGACTAGCATGTTTGGAGAGGGATATTGCAGTGAGAAACGAAACTAGTTCCTGCTCATTTTCCGACGGGTATAAAATGGATTGTGAAAAGTGTGGCTACTACAACAAGGTTAAGATTACCAATACAAATTAAAACTATTATCAATAGGTGGGACAACGAAAAATGATTTTATTAAGCTTACATACGTCAAATGCATTCACATTAATGCAGAATCAGAAATTAATCAGAAATATGCACACTATCTTTTAATTACGAAATCTTACCACAAAACAGCCTGTTTTAAATTAGGAGATAAATTTATTCCCTTTACAGCTTTAGACTGCTGCCGTAAATAATAGAATACTAGGAATTTAAATACTTAGTTTTTGAGCCTTGCAATGAGCTTGCTTCGACCGAAACCAGTGAGCAAGGACAAAATATTATCGTTTGTAAAAGCTACGCAACGCCCACAACAGCTTGTTATAGAAGAGAATAAAAGGAGTTAAAGGGGATGCCCGAACCCAGTCTCTAACCAGAATTTCGATTTCATAAATTACATCAGTTCTGATGGAGCGATTAAACGAAGACTAGAATGCACTCAAGGTTCCACGAATATTGAAAATTTGTCAACTTTTCACCAAGCATTTAAACACTACCGCAGCATAGGTTGCATACAATTGTGATGTCGAATTATATAACTGCGTACATCTGACTTGTTTTGACCAATCGGTTGACTGTCGACATCGCCTGCTTTTTTTGGCGCGGCTTTTTCAACACGTCGATAGCGCAGAACGTAGTAGAGAATGACGCCATTCGGATTTGGTGGTTCAGCCCACGACACATACACAGTTCCCGCAGAGTCCTGCTCCGATTTTATACTTTCCACGTTCACATCATCCGCCCCGGCTAGATACAAACAGCAGGAAAGAATGGATTCACCGGTAATGATTGCGTATACAAAAGGCAACAGCTTACCAAGTCGGAAATTACATCAGACTTCGAACTCCACATTTCATACACTTATTTTTCAATTTACTTGCCTAATTTTATTCGGCCGACCTCCCGCCGACAAGGTGAGTAGACGTTATCACAAAGGAGGGGGTGGACAAAACGAGGTAGAATTGCCCGCATTAATGTGGCATATCTATTAGAGACCGTTAGCAAATGTTCACGTCCCACTGAGCATGCTGCATCAACAGTACGCAATGTAATACAATAAACATAAACATTTAAACTATGCCTACGAAAAAATAAAATGATAACTGATAATACCAACTGATAAATATGAACAGGATGAACGCGTACGTAAGGACATCACCAAGGATACAAGCGCACAAGTAACTGTTAAGATATGAACGTAAAAGTAGAAATACGGGTTAAGTTAGTCTAAAAACAGTGAGTGCCAGAGTAAGCCAAGAGCCTTCCACCCAGCTGCAAACGAAAACAATAACATCTAGCTCAATGCAATAAGTCATGTGCTTCGTCAACATGTCGCTACGATAAATGCCCTTTAGTCGCTTCTTCGCTTAAAAACAATAGGGCAGAAGAAAACACGGGTTGCTTGAATAACAGGACCCAAAACTTATTGCACCACTGCAATTTATCAATCAGCAGAAGAAAAGCGCATGAGCAAAAACGACCCACCATTGGGCAGCGTCCTCTGAGTCTTGAAAACTCGGTGGCTACAGTAACGCCACAAGTAGCTGTCCCATCGACCCCCTGGTTTACCCACCACGTTGGAATTTGCGATCATCAAATCACGCCAGGGGAAATCGGAATCTTCGTCCGGTTGCTACAAAAGTTAGGTACCAATCGACGATGGAAGTGCAAACTATGATAATCACATCAAAATGACTGAAAAAAGAAAAAAAACGGTCGTCGAACTGCGAATACTGGACAGCCTACCTGACAAGCCTGGAGTTCAACGACGTACTGAGAAAAGCTACGAAGGTTGCTTAGGGTATAAGAGAAGGACTTTTTATTGATCTGGGGCTGAAGACCAAGGGCCTCTGAGGGCTCTGCGTCGCTGTCCGCATTCACCACAACAAGACCCACTTCTCCATCACCCAGGGTCCTCGACAAACGGTTGCCTGAAGGAAGAGCAGAAAGTTACAAAGTGATTTTAAGGCGAGGTGCTCTGTCACCTGATTTGATTGCTTCGTCGTCTACCAGACCAAAGTTTTAGCTAACTTTCGGAATCAAAAAAAACGAAGAATTACACTTTGCCGCGTCCTAATTTTCGAGTTGTGCATAACGGCAATTAGCTTCGTATCTCTAAATCCAGGCATTTTTAATTGCAACATCGTCAGTACAACTCAGTTCAGGTTTGCTAATGAAGCCCATTGTCGAAGTGTCTAATAATGTTACAGCAGGAATATCTGTAATTTAATTGTGGGCGAAATCACGCAATTGAACACATATTTGAGCTATGTTGCATCAACTCACCAAAAACAACGGGAAGAGTGGCGTCGTGTGAGTCTACCATCCAAAGACTGCGGTGAAAACCATTGACCTTACACTGCTGTGTATCGCAGACACCCTGTTTAACTACTCTATGAATGCAAAAAAAAGAAACAGATTTATATTGAGAGGCAAAAGTACTTAAGAAAATTCAATAAACTTGCAGGTTGGAGGCAAAATCAGTAGAATTTTTGAAACCTGATGGAGCGCTTATTACAAAAAATAGAAGGGGCTGAATAGGAGGACAATGTACGTGTCCACGTTGACTCGATTTCAACTAACAGCGTGCCAAGTCAACCCCACATTGACAGGATGACTTTGCGCCACACCGCAAAGTAAAGTAGATAAAACAGACTACTAAATGGTGGTCCCAAATGACAAAAGCTGTACATACGACCAAAATATGCCTGTCAGGCGAGACAATCCGACGTAGTGGGATGGCGAGATTGAGGAAGACAGCCAATCAGGCGCTGAAAGAGATGGAAATCAGAACAGATTTTTATTGCAAATTTTAAGCAGTAAAAAAAGAAAATCAACTTAAAACGTAGTTCCATGAAGTGGCTATGAACAAGGAGGTGGCACCGGATAAAACAAGATTTGTCAGTGAGAACCTAGACTGGGGATAAAGGAGCAAAATAAATTAACTTGGTATAATTAGTTACAACCCACATTACCTAAGTGTCTTATCCTGCTAGATGGGAGGCACTAGGCTTCATCACCAAGACTAATTCCTATAACTCAGCTTTTTAGAAAAGGATTTAAAAAGGCTTGAAGTTTCTAACACATTTCCTGAACGGAGAAAGGTAGCTTGAAATAGGACTGAGGCAAAATAGCTTACTGGAAAAACAAAAGTCTCGGAGGAGATACGGCTCGGGGTCGACGTGTGTAGCTCGAAACCAAAGCGCATACACGGCTAAGCGACCGTTGCTTTGAAGAGGGGGCAACCACTTAACCAAAATCTTGGAGTCATTCAGAGCTTGGAGTCGTTCAAGTCGTGGAGGTGATGGGTCTAGTAAGGAAAAGTTAGCACATCATTCAAAACTTTCTGATACATTATTGTTACTACAAAAATTGCCGATCCGCCTGTAATCTTAGTCGAAGGGAAAATAACGTTTGATCCCCGGAATTGCACAACAAAGTGAGATGTGAAATCCTTCAAAACAACTACCAGGGTTATTTTGACATATAAACAGTGTCGCATCAAAAGAAATCGTGGGTTACCATCGCCAAACATTTGTGTTGACTTGCCAATTACACTGAAATCAGCTAAAAATAGTGACACTGGAAGACCAAATAAATTAAGACTACCAAGGAATCTGGTAGCATTAGGTGTTGGTCATTAGAAAGATCCACTACATTTTAAAAGGCGACTTAGATCAAGGGATCACGGATGTTAACTTGAGATTTGAAGCTATGCGTTACACAGCCAAGCGTTTCATCCATCTAGCATGCATTTAAGCGTTGTCATCACACGCGATGATCAGTCGTCTGCGAATATGACCAATGTTGTTTGCACGGCCACATTCCTGGTAGTGTAGGGCAAGTGGGGCAAGAAAGTTAGAGCAGACGCGACACAACATAGCCTGAGCGTGACACCAACGGGAAGAGTACTTTGCAATTTTATTGGGGGGATTTAGGACGAGGCTTCTAGTGGTAAAAACTTACTACTGGGTTTCGTAGTAAAGTAGATTATGTTGCTTATGGCGCCTCGCTGACTAAAGAGGGGTTTAGATTCCACGTAAACTGCATACCGGGTGGCCGGCTTCAGTTGGCCGATGGTTTTGCTGCAGAAGGCCACGCCGTCGCTCAGAACAGATTGCACCACTGACGCATTGCAAACAGAGGGAATCATCTTCCACCTAGATGGAACACTTAGATGCGGAAGCTAGGAGTTGTGAAGTTGGTTTTAAACACTGTAATGTGCGCGCGAACATTCGGCTGATTTGGTCAAATATTCATATAACAAACTCGAACTATAAAGCAAAAGAGTGACAAAGGTGGGTATGGCTTTATCCATCTATGTTGAATAAACCCACTAGTTAGTTGTTTATGCAAGGGAGCGCGTAAGTAAACAAGTGTATTTGTTAAGAACGGTAAGTCTTACCTGGCGGGAAATTAACATTGAAAAGAAAAACAAGAAGCACTTACGAATCGTCACCGCAAGATAGACGGCTCGAGTATGCAGTAAGGTTTTTGGTCCTGTAAAAAAAGACACGCTAATGAACATGGTGAAGGCAAAGAAACTGAGTCAGGGTATGACATGTGGCAACTGAATCTAAACCCAGCAAACACGCTCATCGGCGATCACACCATCACTCAGGCACCAGACATAACTGATGTGAGGTAAAGACAGTTAGGTTCGAAAATAAGGAAGACAAGATTGCACATGAGGCGTCAATATTGCAGCCTCAATTTGTGTAATTTAGGCTGAAAAAAACTAACATGAACATAGAATAGTACTGTAAACCAATCTAAAGACAAGTCATTAAACTCTACGCTACACCCCATTTGCTTCTTAATTGGACCACAGACAGTCACTGGCTCAAACCTACGTGGCCTGAAAAAAGACAAGTACGAATGTTGACGTGGTTTGACCAGTTGGACGACTGCTGAAGACACGCGGCCATTGGATAATCGCAGTGGTGGAGAAGACTTCTTTAAGTTGTAGCACAATTTGCGTAGTTTCACCTGAACAAAACGATATCTCATAAGTTTTAAAAACAACAGTAAAAAACTTCAATGAAACAGGTTGGTTATAATGACCATTTGAAGTTGGAATATTGCACTATAAACAGCCTGTCATGCTAAGATGTAGAGGCTAGTTAAAATCTGAAGATGAGTAGAATTAAAAAGGGCAAATGTATTGATGGGTTTTTGGAAAACAGCACCTTGTGGTGGTCATAGATCGGTGTGCAGTCACTTCATTAACCTAATAAAATGGCGAGAGTTGTAGGAAATGGGCCTGAGTTAGACAGGCGTGATTTGGGACAGAAAGGTAATCGCTCAACGGCAGTCGTGATATCCGGAAAGGCATAAAAGGCATTGGGAAATACGAAGCCTAACTAACTAATTAGCCAGATTGAAAAAAACTAATTGATAGGGACCACCGAGTTGACCAGCGTGACATTTGAATAACTATGACTCTGACAATGACAATTTACCAGACGTCATGTTGCCGAAATTAGATGATTCACTTTATCCTTAAGAAGTCTCTTTCAGTTGGCAGACAGTTTTACCAATAATTGGAACATAGTACTTTACATGTTTACAACTTTAAACGGCTTAAAAAGGCCAAGTGTGGGTAAGGTTGAGAAGTCTGCACAAATTCTGCAGACTGGTACCCGAGTTTTCGAAGTCTGCTCCTAAATGTGCAAGTGTTTCGAATAAGAATAATGCCATTTATCTAGTGTATTACAGTAGTCTCGTTAACATAGGACTGAGTGAGATACAGCCGCCAACATAAACTCAAATGCGTCGGAATGAAATACAAATCAGATCACCTCGAGAAGTCATGTCCACGAATCCCGTCAGGATGAAAGATAAATTATGCACACCACAAGATGAATCATGTGTGTAAAGTTGTAATGCACTACTGGGATGAGTGAGCAGGTAGTAAGCATAGATCCAACTCACAGAATCCCAATTTCCCATTAGTGGCCTGAGCGAGTTCTAGTTCCTCGGAGCGAAAATTACGACCACCCGGAAGAATAAGAGCGCCTGATTTAACGAGGTCGATAATTTTTTGAGGACAGAGATACCGATTGAGGATAAAGTGGACGAGGCCTTCGGATACTACCCTTAGTCCTCCACCACCACTCAGCGAGTCGTTTTGAGAGGGCGGTGGCCAGAGCTCCACGAGGTTGTCATTTCCTCTGATTTCTAGCACAGTCCTGCAAGAAAAGAACAATTTGGCTGTGATTACCACGTATACAATAACCACCATAAACGTGTTGGCAATTAAATCTCATTTAAGCAGCAGGGATACCGAATTTGGTCTTCATGATTTGAGTACAGAATTGCTAAGGACCATTCGAAACGGCTCCTGATACGTCAGGCGAAAAACATCCGTGAGAAGCCTTCCGAATCGGATAGGTTCAGCACACATAATTTATCCTCTAGGTGAATCACGATAACCATGAGAAGTTAACTGCGCAACTGCGCACAAGCAAGTCGTATGACCCCCAAAAGCCATTTCGGTTGGCCTCGAGAATTTGTGTGAGCCCGTAAACAAAAGCGAAAATCTCAGCACGGCAGTAATACATAAAGCAAACTAATTTTGGTGTAATGGAAGCAACATTAAAAGAAAAGAGACTGGACCTAACTACACTGACCAAAAGGATTGCGGTCCTGTGGACTCCGACCGTGGATGGAAGAACCTCCAACTTAGCTAAATGAATATTGGGAGGTCGGAGTAAGAAATCTAATGTTCCTGTAAATCTTTTGTAAAACGAGGATATTTGCCTTGATAGGGTATATCGCAGAATTTGATGACCTGTCTTGCAGGAAATACGCAAACTTACGTGTTTGGTGGTAGGCTCGGATTGGTGTTGATGCGTCGAACGTGCCGCAGAAAAGCCAGAGAGGTGAGAGCTGACGCTCGAATTACTTTTATGCTTTTGACCTCTCGAAGGCTGGAGAAGGCCTCATCGAACCTTTGTTTAATCAGAGCTAAATATTGAAGACCAATTAGTGATTTTCCTTAGACAGGAGTTGAATACAAAAAAGAAAACGACTCCCATTGTAACACTGCACCCCACTGGTCGCCCATCTCGAACACCAAGCACCCAAGATCAGTTCCCCGCTTTACTCGTAAACGAAAACACGACACTACAACTTAACCCTGCCCACAATCTTATGTCCTCCTTCCCAAATTCCCCTGGCAGAGTAGCTTTATAATGATTGGTAAGTTCACTGTGTCGAACTCCATATTTTTAGAACTTCTCGACTAATGCCGCATAAAAACCAATTGCAGTGTTTTCAAAATCATGAATAAACTAATTAAGAGTGTAAAAGTATCGGTTAATTGACAAGTGGTGGGCATCTTGAACTCCATTCATGACATCCTACCCACCACCAACCGTTGTTCCTCATGTGATCAATGGCCATGAATTATTTCGCGTTTTGATGCTTCTGACTTCCGTGGTTGATGTGCAATCGCTATTTTCCACATGAACCCCATGGGATCATGAAAGCTTTTCACTTGTCACCAAGGGTAAGGCTGACAAAAATCTGTCTGAAACCTGCGTTTTGTCGATCACTTCTGTATTGACATCAGCGTGGAATAATCTTGGTCGGGACATTTGTTCATATCTTAGCTAGGCCGCGCTAAAGGAACACAAATGAGGTCAGAATTACCACAAATTTACATGGACCATATATTCCTGCTTAAGCATAAAACCTAGACACACAACAAAACTCGGACATTGCATTCGGTGCTTTTAAAGGATGGTAGAAGTTTCACCTGGCATTGTTTTCACAAATTCACATATTATCCGTTTTCCCTTGCCCCGATGAGCTTAATTTTAACAAGGGAAAACTTACCAGGGTCGCCCTCGTGAATTGAGATATAGAGATCAGTGACGGAATAGCAATCTTTCAGTTTGGAAAGCGATTTCAGGCTGCTTATCAACATGCTGTGGCATCCTAAAATGGAGCAAGAGAAAACGGGGATAAGCAGAAGTTTCTAAAGTTCACACCAAGGATTTGGGTGCACAATTTGCGTCATGGGATGTAAAATAACTGGTCACACAGAGTTAAAACTTGGCAGACATTCCGACTTCACCTGCCTCAAGCGTTAATCAACCTTTACCTCGAGATTCACAAAAATTCTTAAAACATAGGGCATTAGTGCATTGGAGCAGCAATAACTAAAAACTATAGGAACGCTAATCGTCAGAAAGGAATTTGAGAAAGTGAACCGCAACCAATTTAAATATTAAACGATTAGATTTAGTTATAATAATTAGTGAAAGCTGGAGAAAATAGGGTTTTGTAACCACTAACAGTTTAGCGAGCAACTGTGAGAACATGAAGGTTAATATAAAAAGGTAGGAGCGATGGGTAGATTTGTGGACAATTATACGGATTATCAATGTAAAATTGGAAAGGGGCAGTTGCCTATAGTCATAGAACGCACTAAATTCCATTAAAGAGCGAGTAAATATCTCGATATGTTGGAAGTTATTGGGTCTGGGAAAATCTTTAACCCCTTTGGATGAGGGAAAGTATCTTTTTCATATTACACTTAGACTTGGCAAAAGTCTAATGCCAAAAATGTGTGCACTGCTAAGGACAAAAGAATATGTATTTTCCTAAGCGGGAGGGGATAATTGATGTTTGCAGTGACTTACGAATTATGGGACACTTATCACCGCACGGTAGACATTCACCGCTTGCCTCGTTGCGCTGGTGACCCGAAGGGCAATCAGGTACACACCGGCCTTGATAAATGGCGAATCGGCCGGTTGTCGTCGTAGAGGTGGAATCGACAGCAGTTGTGACGCTGCTACTGCTGCTTAGTACGGAAGGGAGTCTGGGGCCGCTGCTCATATTGAAGCACTCTGCCGCGGAAACACAACGGCGACCGTGGAAGAGGTAGGTACCTTCTGGACACTTCGATACGCAAATGCCGTGGTGAAGAGCCCCCTTACAGGCAACGCAGGCTCCAGGGCCGGAATCATAGCAGCCAGCTAGGCACTCGACGTGGCAACAAAGTTCCACATTATCAACTCTACAGGCAAGCCCGCGATTTGAACAGGAGGTGGAACAAACTGAAAGAAGTTAGTAAAAGTGGGCGTTACTTGGAGACTTCAAAGCAGGAAAATACAAGGACAGGGACCAAAAGAGCACCCGCTTTTCACCAAAACTTACTCTAACAACCAAACTTCAAACTAGTATTTTCGGGTTAATCCAAACACATAATCTATAATAAAAAATGTACAGACCTTGAAGCGCTTGCCAACTTTTTTAATCGGCTACTATATATCTTTTTAAGCAATATGTATAGGCCAGCTTCAAGACTTTCAGAATTTAAAAAAAAAATCGGAAGCAATCTGTGTGAAGCACTTTCAGATCTCGCAACTGCAATCCAAGGATACAAACATGCTTTACAACGATGAGACAGCTTCCATAGGTATTGAGTATTCTGGCTTACACATTTATACCAACAAAACAGAAGCACTTATTTTTCTGACTGGGAGGAGAAACTAAGATCTAATCACAATCCAATTAATAATTCGAAATATCGCGAAAAATTAGTTTGTTTTAATATACTATATTGATCCCTGATTCCAACTCCACACAAGTACCAGACCGCAACTCAAGGCTTAGTCAATTGACGATTTGAATATCGGAGTAGTGAACTGATCATCCAACAAAAGCAACGACTTGACCGATGTTTCTGCGATAGTAACTAAATAGGTTGCAAGGACTGCAACATTAAGAGCTTACGGTGTATGCACCGTACTTTAAACTTAAAATTCACATAAAACAGCAGACAAATTGTTACTTGACTGGACGTGTGATGATGACCAGCAATGACTTGGTTTACTGTCCTTTTCGCGAAGTGATATCCTTTTCGTCTCAACCTGGGTCATCGCCTGAATACTACTGCCCACATACTGTGGTTGACACGTGTCCGGACATATTAGTCGATTGGTCAACAAACGGATAGGCGCAGCTGCCGCTGTCTGATTCCCAACAATATACGACCAATTTACAGTTCTGACATAGCAAAGGTTTGTGTTCAGATCAACACGCACTCCACCACGTTGGATCACGCGAAGAGAGCGCAACCCGATTGTCTGCAAGGAAAATTAGAAGTCGTCTGCGGTGGAACAGCTTGAACACAGAATGACTTCCATGACATGTTACAGTCAAAACAGTAAGCATTAAGTGAATTTTTTTCTGCACCATACAAATTTACGCGCTTAATTTAAAAAAGTGCATTTAGGATTAGAAAAGTAGGTTTTTGCCGCTACAGCACTCAGGAAAGTACCTCCAGATGTTGAAAGAATGTAGCGGAATTCTAATAGCAATGACCAAAAGATAGTAACATCGCATTAACATATATGCAGACCCCTTTATATAGAGCACGACCTCCATTCTTAAGAA